TATCACCCACATTTCCTACAAGACACCAACAGTACTATGGCAACACAACCAACATGGTGACACTCTGAACAACACAGACACATGGCCAGAGTGAGATCTTGAAGCAGATTGGATTTTTTTGTATCTCAACTCAAATCCATCAGTGGTGAAGCAGAGTACTGAGGTGGTGCTAATGAGGAGTGGCCCCGCGTCTGAAGCCCCGTCTCTGTATGGGGCAGTGAAGGAGACCCCTGTGGTCCGCCCTCGCCCCCAAACCCACCAGGACAGATAAAGCAGCAGCCCTCTCCCAGTTAAAGGCCTGCCTATGTGGACATAAATTGGTGCGGGCGCTTCTTAACTGTCCAATTTGCATGGCCCCTTTCACAAAGAGGCTAATGGTGTTTTATAAGACAAACATGCGTCCGGGCACCCCCACTAACTTCCACGCAGGTAAAGCAGAAGGTGCACTCATTATCCCACCGGCAAATGACCTGTTACGGGGCAATGTGGGGGACGGAACATATGAGACTTTTGTTGTGACAATTTTCCTTTTCACTGGTTCAACTGCTGCAAAATTGTAGTTTTGACAACAAATGCCACTGTGTTTCACCCCTAGATGGACGTCTCATTGTTTGTCCTCGAGACCATAACATAACTACAATCACTCATCTAAAGACCAAACACACAGTATACAATGGTCAGTGAAGATTCCAATGTAAACAAGCATTAATTAATACGGTTTATACGTCATGTAAATTGCAGAATACATGAGAATACATAAAAATATTAAGCCTCCTTACAGACGAGTAAGAATGCTTTACATACAGTGAGCTTTGGCCCTGTTTCCACCAGCCCTACTATAGCCCTGTTTAACTAATACCAGGTACATTTTAGTGTATATTCGGACCTGGTTCTAACTGGCTAAGCTGGTATTTAAATGTTCTAACTGACAGTGATTGACCGGAGTGTCACTGAATGCTGATTGGTTGTAGATAGGATTTGCTTTAAGGTATGGCACGAGAAACTAAATGGTAATGGAAACACAACCAACCAGAGTAGAGCCAAGTAGAGTAGGGCTAAGTAGGTTTGTTGGTAATGGGTCTTTTGATAAGGGTTCCTTCATAAATAGCTAACTCATAGTAATTCGTCAATAGATTCACACAATTGTTCAGATAATTGTTAAATGAACAGCAAACTAGCACATATCACACAATCTACTATATGTGGATTTTACATATGCATACAGGCTCCAGTTACTGATAAAAACTTTGCCTGGTGGTCTAAAAACAAGTGCAGTGCGATGGAATATTTACCACTAACACGATGGCTTCCAGAGTCTGAGAAAGGAAAAATAAGAACAACTATAGAGTGTTGTGTTGAATGTGTTGAGTGTAATAACTGGAACATAAAAAAGGACATGCGCCAAAAGCTGTGGAAAAGGGAAAGGAGCTCAAAGCGGCCGGCTGCCTGTGGGGAGAGCTGAGATGAAGCGGCTGGTGGGCTGGGACTGTGCTGTTATCTGGTGGCGGAGGATCTGTCTCTGTTACAGCGAACATGGGCCTCTTATTAAAGCCATTTATCACTGGCTGAATATTCGCTCTTTAATGGTGGCTGTCGTTAATTACCCGACTTTGTCAAGATCCGCAGTCAGGGGCGCTCTGTTTCCGAGGCCCGCTCAGACAGCTATGTAAGGGCATACTTCAAAACATCATCAAGTATCAGGGGGTATTTTTAGACAAGGACTACACTGACTGGACTACACTGAATCTCTCATCGGGCGACAGTGTTTTAAAGCATATACTGGTTATAAGGCTGGACCCAGAGCCCATGCATAAATGCAAATATACAACAATGCAGTCGTCAAGCAACTTATCTTCACAATGTGTTTCATATTTTGGATAATGTCTTGGAAAATGTGTGTGCTTTTTTTTTTTTTTTCAATTCATGACACGTTTGTATAGGAGATTTAGGCCATTATCCAGACTAGTCCCTTTAAAACTAGTTTATACAAGCATGTATTTAGGCCTCTGTCACAGCTTTTTCAGACAGACAGAAAAGTGAAATATGAGCTTGTCCTTCTCTAAGCTCCGCCCAGTCATTCTGCGGCGCTAACTCATGCTTGTAAGCTCCATCTGGTCCTTTGGGTCCTTCCCCAGAGCTCATGACCATATACTGTAGGTAAGGGTGGGAACGTAGATTGAGTGGTAAATCCAGAGCTCTTACTGCAGACGCTGCTCCCTCTTCACCACAACAGTCAGATACAGCGACTCACCCTCACCCTCCATCCTTCAGAGGACCGGGACCTCTGATCCTGGAGAGGACCGGCACCTCTGGATATATTTGTTGATGTATTTTTTTATTGTGAGCATAAATGTGTACAGCTGTAATTTTATGTCTATAAATATATATATGTATATGTATATATGCCATAGGATTAGGTGAGCGGAGTAAGTGTATAACTTCAGCCTAAACCTGAATCTCTTGTGTTTTGATCAATGACCGAATAAAGAATAAACCAATTAAATTAAGCAATCAAATATAATATTGTTTTAATGTGTCATTTAATATAGTAATAAAATGCAATACTAATACTTTATTCTGCGCCTAATGTCCACAATGTGCGAGTATGATTATCAATGTGATTATTGGTATTGGTATTGTTTGTGGCAAGATGGATTATGTGCTGCATGTTTTTTTCTTATTGTTCCACACATTTTGAAATAAGATTCAAAACCATTTGAAGACCATCCTAATGTATTTGTATTGATGGACTTTTATCCTGATTATTATGAGGACGGCACAGTGGCAGAGTGGTTAGCACTATCGCTCCGAAACCTGGCCGGAACAGGGTCTTTCTGAGTGGAATTTGCATGTTCTCCCCATGTTTGCTTAGGTTATGGGTCAAATGCAGAAGACAAAATTAAAGTAATACCTTACCAAAAATAAAGTGTACTTAACCTTACTATTGGTTATTGACATATCCCTAGTGTCCACATTCATTTACGTAAGTCACTGTATCTGTACAAAGTCTGTAGAACCCTTCTTGCTAATCGTTTGCCGTGTAAAAAAGTGTATAATTTATGCTTTTGTATGTACGGATTGTGTTTATTCATTACATTTTTAAAGCTGTTTGGAGAGCTTTCCCCCACTGTGGGCAGCTGAATGTTCTGTAATCTTTTCTAATTTTGACAGACGACCCCTGTAGTATTCTTGAAAATAGCAGCACGTACACCATTAGCCCTGTTTACATGGTGCCGTCATTAGTGAAGAGGTTATGATCCTACAACAACCAGGAATGAATGTCCTTGTTAAGTCTCCTTCTGAGGCTTCATTTGTCCTCATATTGTTGCTGTTGTCTTCTCTCCGTTATCCCTAATCACTGCCGTTTGTGATCCTTTTATAATTAGCCACTTAACAAGGCTGAGCGAATGAAAGAGCTGCATTGTAAAGCGTTTACAAGGGCCGGGACCGAACACGCCAGCACCTTTTGTTTTGCAATTACTTTGTCTGGGAATAAGGGACAAGATGGATGGTTGAAGATAATATACAAGAGCTGTGCAGTTGTGGTGCAGCTCGAGAGAAACGATCAGAAAAGGGGATAATAATGTCTAAGGCAGTAAGTATAAGTAAAAATAGTATTAACATTTTTTGCTGTGTAAAGTAAAAGGGTTACAACAATCACATATTTTGTCGTATGGATTGATGACTATCTCACATTCAAAAGTCATAATCCAAATGCTTTCGACATAAATCATTATTTCTTCCAGTGCCAAGAAGTAAATAGAGGAAATAAACTCTTTCTATACAAACTCCATTGGTCCATAGTATACCTCAGTGTTATTGGATAAGGTCGAGGGAATGGTAAAGAGTGTTATGGCTGACTGAGAAATGTTCTATACTATTTTTACCTACCAATTCAAGAGGATATGGAGTGAGATTCTCTCCGGTTTTCCTGTTGATATCAATGTAAAGTCATTTCACAAAATAGGGGATTAAAAACTATTCAATCCAAAGTATTGCGACAGTTGCCATAACCCCCATCAGATTAAAATAGCTGTCTATGATATGGTTGGCACATCAATTAAAAGGTAATTAATTAAGAGTTTAGAGTGGTTTCTTAAATGTTTTTTTAAGTTCATTGATTTAAGTGTTTAGTCTGTCATTATGCAACTATAAACATCTCGCTATTGTTCATATTAACCTGTTGATTTGAATGCAGCCTTTTCAAAAAGCAGGATCATAAAGGGCTTCACAGTTTGAATTAAGTGGGGAAATAGAAATGAAATAGTATTTCAATAATTGTTGAAACCACATTAATGTCTAATACTTGTCAGATGTTAGCATTGTGTGTTTCTGGCAGCTCAGACAAATACTTTGTCTCCCTTCTACGCCAGAATCACAGAGATCTCAGTTTAAAAATATTGCAAAATCAGTTTTTGTAGTGCAGATGGATTTGGGACAAAGTTTACAGAGAGAAGATATGACAAATATTAAAACCACTCCCATGAATATGAGCAGAGACTCGGAGAGGGCCTTGAAAGGGGAGCCATTTCTCCACAACATAGTTATTAGGAATGATCCAAGTGTCTGTGGAGATTCCCCGATGCACCATGAGCACAGCCAGCGTTTAGTATGTCTCCCAAAAGACTTTCCTTTAGCACCAGTCATTTACGCAGTAGTTATCTGAAGATAGAACCGAACACAGGCGAGAGGGTGACAGCTGCTCCATTGATCCCCTATGGCCTGATTAGCTCACCAGTGTAGCATTCGAACCAAAACTAATCCAATATATTGATCATTGCACACTTTTTAAAGCTTCCCCGGGCAATAATATGATTTTTCCTTTTGGTTAAATTACTTGTTAGTTATCACTCGTTGGCATCTGGGAGTTGAATGGTTCCTGTGAAATGTCAATATAGACATTTAAGCCAATAAACTATTAATTATGGCAATACAGATGATTCTTACTCATAGAAAACATTGTATGCAGATGTTTGAATAGGATTGACATACCTGTATTGTTATTGCGTTATGAGACGGTGGCAGTTTTCCATTTGTCCAGAAGAGGTTGCTGTGCTCACTGAATACGTCAAGAAGAGGACTGACGAATCTCGCCTTGAAAATAAATGACAGGGAAAAGATGAAATCCCAGTTGAACCTCTTTTAACATTGAGTGAAAATGATATAACAGCACACCAGAGACAAGAGACGTCCCCCCTCTCTCTGCTACTGTGGGCTTTTGATAGGCCTAATGACAATGCTACACGCACACATCATTCAAGAGCTAATTGTGCCTCTGTGAACGGCTATTCATGGATTTTTAAAAGCAATCTAAAACTTGATTTACCATTGTATTTGTTATAATAAAGATCAGCACTGAAACGGTTATTTCAAAAGCTCCTCTAACAGTCAGATGTTTAATAAAAAATAAAAAATAACATTGAAATAATATGAAATGAATAATAACACTAGGGATGAAAAACAATAATATATAAAAAATGTATTAACGTTTACATTTTTCTTTCTGCTTATCATTTGAAACTGTATGTGGAGTAATACTGTTTTACTGGTCACAATTGTAATTCATAAATACAAATAAATGAAATGAAATGTTTATAGTAATATACAATTAGCAAAACGATTTAATTACAATTTTAGTGCCTTAATTATTCGGATATATATTATAATGACTTTTGTTTTCACATGTTTCGGAAATGCAATAAAAGCAACGTACAGCATTTGCAAATAAGAAATGTTTTTTTTTCACACAGAAACTTCTCATTCTTTTCAACTCTTTAAGGATGTTTTGTAAAATCTGATCAGATTACTACTGCTCACTGAAATAATAATGCCTGTCCAGTTTATCCGGCAGCATCTCGAAAGAACTTCTGTTATCTCAATAAACACACTTTTAACGAATTTAAAGGAAACATTTGTTAAATAAATACAAAAGCAAGTTAATCTCAATACACATTATACTGATGATGTGGTGGGGAAATGTCTGTGTTGCATCACAAGTTAGAGAACAGCTGGAATGAGGAGCACACAACACAAGATACAGTAACTGAATAGCACAATTCTATACTTACTCTAGTGCAAGAAATATATACTTGTATGCATACTGTATATCTGTAGATGAATATTTAATACACTCTATTGCCAGAATAGTGAAGTAGGTCAAATATTTGCAGTGATGATAAATCTACTGTACATGTTTGTGAAATGATTTGTTAAAAACATAAAAAATCCCATTATAAACTACATGTATCATTATGGTTTTATACCTACACTGTAACAAATTTCTGTAAAATTACAATGAAATTTCAACATTAAACAAATTTTATTTTGAAAAACATTTCAAACATGCAAATTTAAGGATAAATTGGTTAAAAAACATCCAGTGGCGTTTTATTACCACAATTATAATGTGATTACAAAAAAACGTTACAGTGATTACTAATCACATTGTGATTTTATGGTATTATTACCGTAATTTAACATAAACTTGTATTTTTGGAATGCTGGGAAATTTTTACTAGCGAGCAACCATGAGCGTTAAAGGTACCTCTTACACATGTAAACTCCTGCTTTAGTTAGAATGATGCTTTTGCATTAAGCATGTACAGTAATAGAAGTAAAGATTTCAACTACTTTCTTGTATAAACTAAAGATGTTAAAAAATAATTGAAAAGTTGTGTTCATTTAAGTAAAACAAATTAAACTGTGTAGTTTTTTGTTCAATGAAACTATTTAGAAACAGAAACAGTCATATGGCGTAATAATACAAAATGAACATTATAAAGCTGTTTTTGTTGTATGTGAATTAACAGAAACATACAGTTAAATTCTGAAATCACAAAGGCATAATGTGATTCAGTGAAACAGTCTTTAACCGTTAAAATTAGCAACGGTAATGCCATGTTGAGAAAACGGTAAATTCCTGGAACCATATTTGCCAGCTATTTACCGTTTTTCTACAAGGAAATGTTTTACAGTGTACCTATGTTAAACCATATACCCACTTATTGTTTTTAGTGAATATTAAGATACATAGAACTGCTTTGAATAGAAAACAGTTCTCGTTTGCGAAGCCTTGGAGCAAAGACAAAGACTGATGTTGCTGATAATTGACCACATCACTTCCTCCTCTTTGAACAGCCACTAATTGATTATAGATGTCGTTTTCCTTATTGGCAGTAGGGGGCAGGATCCATGCATTGATCAGACTATATTACACAAGTTCAGTAATTGTGCCTTGATGCCTATGAACACATAGTTAGGAGCGTTAAAGCAGCAGTGCGAGGTCTACAGCTGACTCACTTCTTCTTGAATATCAGAAAGTCTCGTGAGGTAAGAGTTTCAGAAGACAATGTTGTAGTGCGTATTCCCTTAAGCAAACGCAGCTAACATCTCGGTGCGTTCGGATTATTTTATCTCAATAGAGGTTTGAGATTCTTTGTGATACGCAGTGATCAAACATGGCTCTCTCTTTACCTCATTCTTGTCTTTCACCCTCGGGCCAGCGAGCATCGCCGAGTAACTGTTTGAAGGGAATACGTCAGCGAAGTTAGAGACGTGTGCCGTGTCATCTAAGAGCACATCTAGTGTTTGGAAGCATGCAAAGTCTAGGATATTGTTGATAAAGAGAAATACATAAGATTAAAAAAAGTGTAATTTGCTCTTTTTAATTGTAATGTTTTGGGAGAGTTGGATTTCTGTTATATGACCGTGTGTGGAATGATTGGAACAATATCTGAACTCTGAACATTGTAAAGCGCTTTGGGTGACCTTGGTCTGTAAAATGCGCTATATAAATAAACATTACTTACTTACTTACTGTATATCCTTTTTTGAAGCAAATTTGAGTTTTTTGAGATTTTACCATCTCATAATGTTCCCTCATAAAATAACAGTTTTTAGATGCATCCATGTTTATATCAGGAACAACCATGTTACTCCGTTTTGCCAAAAAGCTCCTCAAGCGTATGATGTCATTGTAGCCCTAAATCAAAACGGCAGTCGGACTTTGCAAAGTTGCAGAACAGAGGATCAAATAGTACATATATGAACACATGTTTTCTAAGATATTATTTCAAATGCTAAAACACAGTAAATAGTCTCATAATGATTTTTAATGGCCAAAATAATGTATCATTTTTTTCTTTAATTAACACATATTCTTTAGCATCTGGCTCTGTATTAGAATGTAAAGTATTTTTTTTTTCCTCTATGTATTATGTTTTAAAACCGTCCTCCCTTGTTATAACCATCACATGTAAAAAATTTGCTAGAGAGTTTAAAACAATGGGGATGGGGTTTTTCCTCAAGAAATTAAAATCAATTTTGTCCAATCAGGAAAGATCAGGAAAGAACCAGTGTTGATTTTTTTTACTCTCTTTTCTCTCACAACATATACTTCATATACTTTATATACTTTGTTGTCCCCAAAATAAAACATGTCCTCTTCATTTCGACCCATCATTCTAGAGCAGGGGTATTCCCCTGTGTGACTGCAGGTTTTCATTCCAACCAATCCAGTTCAAGTATTCAGGGTAAGACTGGACTCATTTGATGAAAAGAGTAAGTAAGTAGTTTAGAGAGCAATGAGGAGCAGTATTCACCAAGTGTGGATAGTGGGGGGAACCGGAGCGCCTGGAGCAAATCCATCCAAACACAGAGAGAAACATGCACCAGGCCGAATCAGGATCGAACTCACAACCACGCTTTGATTTGACACATTCATATATGTCCAATAGACAACCATACAAGTTCCATTGGTAATATGGAATTAAAAAGTTGCCAATTTAGTACATTTTGCTCCACTATGTTGTTGCTAAACTATTGGACAAGTTCCCAGCCTGAAGATCCAGAAGTCCAATGGTGTGAGAATCTCAAATGTCAAACAAGTGGAACTCAAAAGTCTCAACTATGCCATCTTTAATTCCGCATGATTTTTTCAAGAGAGCACATACGTGGTGCTGTCCGTGACTTAAAAGCTTTCTCGTCACTCCTAATTAGAGACGAGCTAAGCAGACGAGTGCTGGGACAAGGGCACAAAGTGGAGAACGTGTAAAAACCTCCTCTGTGGTTGACTCAGCACATGAGACAAAGGCAGAAGAGAAAGGTTGTGTGCAGCACTGAAAATACAAAAAGAAGATGTAGAATAATAGACTTTATAACATCTGTACTTTTTACAACGATTTGCTTTAGTAAATTAGGTACCCCAGAATTAAGTAAAAGCACAGACTCACAAGTCATAAATACAATAATTTTTTGCTGAATAATAAAAAAAGAGAAGATACTTTTTGACATGTATTGGAGTGTATTTTTACCTACAGATTTTTATTACACAATGAAACAACAATAATGTCATACTTATTGAAGCAGCTGCGAAATTCAAGTCTCTAATTGTGATTTCGGTTCCATTATATCTCAGCGCCTCAGACGAGACCTCAGGGTTTTTGTACATTTTTGATTGCAATCTAAAATGTAACCTTATAGCGGAGAGAACAGAGGAGAGACGCAGGAGGAGGCCGTGTCTGCCGCTCAGTCTGCCAGGCCCACAGCTCTGAAATATTCAAGAGCTTTTGTTGTGCCTAGTTAAACATGCAGCGATGTGACACTAACTGTGAACAACCCTCAGGAAAGCCTTTCATGAGTTAAAGTAAAAATAGCTATTATAACTGACTACGCGGTGCAGCTTTCACTATTCTAAACAAATGTAATTAGAATAATGAAATATACATATGCAAGTTGGATTTAGACTCATTGATTCATATTTATTCATGCAATAAACACATATATTTAACATTTTATTAATTTAACTGAAGACAATGGGTCACAATACAGTGCCTTAAAGTTGATCTCCACAACTTCAAATATATTTCATTTTATAGGAATACATATTTTGACATATGACCCTGTATCATCTATACTGTGTATTTTTCATAAATACTGTATTAAAACCAGTCCCTCCCCTTGGCATAACCACCAACAGTATCTATGCTGTAGATGTCTCTGAGCAAATGTTTGGTTGGGATTTCAGGCGCGTGTTTCCTGGTCCAAAAATGAGTCCAATACTCAAAAATATGAACAAAAGAACCTTTTATTCCATA